TCATCTCATCAGCCACTGGGACTAGAATTCTTATGGCTCCCCGAGTTCCCAAGGAAACAGCATCCTGGCTGATACAGTACAGCCCTTCTATTGGTGTTTTATTCTACCTCGTGCAATGCTTACGTGGTCAGTCCCATTCCTCCTGTTCTTGGTGTCCATGCTCTTGCTCATGTTCTCACTGTGCCAGCACTTGGGGCAGATAAGGGACCATAGACTGGGCCCACGTGATCCTAGCACACAGGCTCACACCATGGCCCTGAAGTCACTTGTCTTCTTCCTTGTCTTCTATACCTCATATTTCCTGTCTCTGATTGTTGTTTCTATGAACATCACAGCCTGTCAGAGTCACTGGTACTGGGCCTGGGAAGTGGTGACCTATGCAGGCATCTGTCTGTACTCCAGCATCCTGGTGCTAAGCACCCCTAAGCTGAGAAAGGTCCTGAAGACCAGGCTTTGGAAAGCTCTGGACAAAGGCTGGTCTGTCTCAAGTTCTCAGTATCAATAATCATTATCTGTGGACAAGCCCATGAGTGGTGAGAAGCTGTAAAGTTTGGGCACTGTCCTTCTCTCTTTTCATTTCCCTCTTTCTTTCCTACTCCTTCCATGCCCTATTAATTCTTTTTGCACCCCTCTCTGTTCCTGCCATTCCATCCACTGCTCCTAGCACCCAGTGTGTGTCCCAAGCCACCCTAGGCTGGGATGTTGGCCTCATTGCCTCATAGACCTCTCATACCCTCTATATGAGCAGCCATTATAAAGCTCTCCAAGCATCCTTTGGGTCAGGCTGCTTTTTGGAGACCTGCAATGGTTGTCGGTTGTCTCTGTGGTCAACCTGAAGTGTTTTTTTTAATGGTGGCATAGATTGTCCTACACCATTCCACACACAACTTCCCTCCTCACTACTGTTCTGCTGTCAGCTCAGTCTCTCCACTCCAGCCCAGTAAAGATTCTTTCCATCTCCCCACATCTCCACATCTTCTTCACTCTAGCCTGTGGTCATTTGTCCCATCTGGAACTTCCTTCTTTCCTTTGTCTGCCATTGTCCATTCCCTTCTTTTGTGCCCAGCTTATGACTGATTCCACCCATGGAGTCTTTTCAGTTTGATCCCATGGAAGGCTGAGGGTTTATAGGAGTTTCCCACCACTCTAGGTCCTGCCCATGATATTGCATGTTTGTTATATGTTGAATTAAAAAGAATTGTCTGATGTGAAAATGCTTTTAGGTTTTGGCCAACAGAAGATAGAGAAGGAAAACAAAGTAAGTTTGCTACTGTTCTTAATTTTGATAATCCTTCCCTTCCTGTCTGCTCACCCAGGAGGTGGATCCTGAATGCCAGTGCCTAGGATGTAAGTCTCCAAATTGGGGTGTTTGCATCCCAGAGTTGTGTGCACAATGATCCACTGAATGTGGAAAGAAAAGTGTGGCAACTCCAATTTCCACTTATTTTTATCTCATCCTTTTAGTTCCTTTTTTGTGTATATATTTTATGATGTACAGAATATATTAGTAAAGTACACATGCATGTAGTTAAATAAATATGCATATGGTTGGATTCATGTCTTAAATTTGTTTTGCTGATGGAATTAATTTTAAAAACGTATGTAGACCAAAAGACTAGAAAAGGGTTGGGTGGGAGCAGTGAAGGCAAGAGCAGCAGCGGTATCTGTATCCACAGACCACGCATCTGGAAGCACCTGGAAGACTGCCTTTCCATGTCTACTGTTTCCTGGAACAGTGGAGTTCCAGAACTGTGCTGAATGTCTTGGGTGGGGAGAGGATGGTGATGTGACTCTAATGTCCCGCAACATGTTCACAGCCCTTTGAGTTATGCCAGGTCTAGTGGGCTTATCTCAGGACAACCTTCTTGATTGGTTGATGTTCTTAACCTCCTTTCCCTAGGTTTTAGCTCATAAGAGCCCCCAAACACTTGGTGGCTCCATCTTGACCAAAAACATAACCCAGTTTCTCATCCTGACTTTCAAGGCTTTCTGTGGACTCTTCCCAGCCTGATATGCCACCATTCCCTTTGCTGTAGCCAAACTTGTCTGATTATTCCCTAGACATAAGGAAATTCCATCTCCGTCAGTGGCCCATGTCTCCTTCCTTGCAACATACAAGACAGCGTCTTTCTCGTACCCCAATGAAGGCTCTGCTGCTGCTGTGCCCACTGAGCTCTTCTCAGAGTTCTTGGTGGGAACAGAATGCCGTATAACATTTCCAGCTGCAGCCTGGGAGTCCTCCCATTTTATCCCTCTCCGAGAGAGTCCTTGAGGTATGTGTTTCCCACATAGAGAATCTACTCCGGATTCCTACCTGGACCATCCCCACCATTACACGTATAAAGACCAGCTGTGAAAACTCAGAATTCTCAGACTTGGCTCCCACCTGAGAGAATAAGTCTGAATATGAGGAAGTAACATGCAGTGAACAAATAAAAAGCACAAACAACAGAAGAATCACTACAAAACACATTGCGTATTTCAACGCAAATGGTTATTCACCTTTTTGGATTAGCTTAATCTGCACAAAGTATGTGGCCAGTTAATGTTGCGGTTTATGATTGGTGCATGAAAACACTCTGAGGGCAGGTACCTAGCTCACCGTTGTAGCCCCAGTGCCTTTCACAGGGTCCTTCTGACATGGGAGATGCCTCGTAAATTGTTGTTGAATGAATCTTTTCAGTTGTACAAGCCATCGAAGACGTAGGAAGTGAATGGGAAGGATGAGCTTCCATACTGAGAGGTCTGTGACTGGCCAAACTCCAGAACTGGGAGTTCATAGTTTGCCCCATTGCTCCAAGGTCCAGTAGGAAATGGCCAAATGTCAGCCAGAGGAACAAGGCTGAGGAAGAGAGCAGTTGGGAGCTCTATCTCCTGAAGATTTGCATCTTCACAGAAAGACAAGGTGAAAAAATACCTTGGTTCACTATCTCTCCTTTCTCTAGGAATGCAGTATTCACCATAGCAAGGGCTCTGTGTTGGAAGAACAATTCTGCCTGGATCTTTGTTCCAGGTGGACTGGGACCTGGAAGGAGATGTTATGTTTTCTGCATTCTGTTCTCTATGGGGTTGTATGCATGGAACTGGTAGGATACAGTGCTGGCCAGAACAGGAATGTACTATAAAATACTCCTTCACTCTCATGTTACTTTATCTTGAGCCTTCAATATTGCCATATATGACCCAGAATAATTTCTCCTTGCCTATCTCCCTGTAGAAAAATTAATCTGCTTATCACTCACTTGGGTAAGTAAGTACTCACTTAATTGATTTTTTTTGACTCTTGGAACATCATTCCTATGAAAAATATAACTTTTGCTTACTCTGCTTTCCTCTGGTTAAAGTAGAGGGTACAAGAGTTGGTGCTCTTACTTCTACTGCATCTCTGATGCTCTCCTGAATTCTCCTTGGACTACTTGTCCCTCTACAGGATGGATGGAATGGCAGGTAGTTATTATAGTAACAGCTGTCATCATCACCTTAATTCTTCCTTATGCTTATGCAGATAGTATAGATACATATTCACATATATTTGTGATCCATATATTTTATAGGTGAAGAAAGGCGTTCAGAAAGATTAAATGACTAGTCTGAAGATCCATACATAGTGATTGTGACAAGACTCAAAACCTGGTCTCTGACTTCAGCTGAGGATGAAGATCAGAGTAAAGGATGTGTTGCTAACTATGGCAGAGACCTCTGGTCCTGGAATCAGTTTGGGTCTTGGTCTTTCCTCCATGTAACTATGACCTTAGTTGAGACTCTTAATCTATAATCATTTCTTTCTTTTATAATATTATTTTAATGTTTTCTTTCACTCTAAAAACTGAGATTGTAGTCTTAGATTCTAGTTCAATCTTGACTTAGAACAGATAATACTTGGGGTACCTGGCTGGCACAGTTAGAAGAGCATCTGATTCTCTATCTGGGGGTTGTAAGTTCAAGCCCCATGGTGGGTGTAGAGCTAACTTAAAAAAAACAAACAAACAACAGATAGGGACACCTGGGTGGCTCAGTCAGTTAAGCATTTGCCTTTGGCTCAGGTCATGATCCCAGGACCCTGGGATCGAGTCCTGCGTTGGGCTCCTTGCTCAGTGGGGAGCCTGCTTCTCCCTCTGCCTGCTGTTCCCCCTGCTTGTGCTTTCTCTCTCTCTCTCTTTCTCTCTGACAAATAAATAAATACATCTTAAAAAAAAAAACCCAGATACTTTTTGCATCTTACAGATGGAGAAATTGAGGCACAGAGGGACTAACAACATACTCAGTAACTCATGGTGAGTCATTGTCCTGGGTTCTTTCTGCCACATCCCATTGGTTTTATTGCTATCCCAGTAGGGGTTCCTTCATGAAATGCCACTTAGGTCACTAATTATAAAATGTTGTAACAAAAAAGTCACCTGCCTGAAAATACATAATTGTCTCCTGTGTTCTTTTTGATGCTGATGGTCATGACAAGTTATAGGACTTGAACTAAACTCTTTTAGTAGAGGTTTAGCTCATTTTTCTATTAGGGGAGTATTCCAAAAGCACCTATTTCGTAAGGTCATAGTGAGAACTAACACAGTGGAGAACACTTAGAACAATGCCTGGAATGAACAATCAACCAACGAATGTGAGCTCTGACTGTTGACAGAGGATTTCCTCACAGAGGTGCCAGAAGGTGTGCGGTCATGTAGGTTTCAACTTAGAGGAGTAGAACCTAAATGCGAGTGCCTGCCTGGTATATTATTCACACCAATGTTGACATGGGCAGAGAGTAGGCAGAGGAAGGGCAGGGAAATTCAGGGGCAGGCAGGGGGACTTTTGAAACTGAGCCTTAGCAATATTTGCATCTGTTCTGAGGAGAAGAAACTCTTTACCCTCAGGAGTTGGCCCATGTCCTCTACTCTGTCCTCTACACTTGGGGGCAGCTGGAGGGGCAAACGTCATGCAGGACCTTGCAGAGCCAACCAGCAGGAATAGACCTTGAAGTCTTGGGACGCATCTTGTCCACAGGAGAGATGAATGGAGATGACATGGTTCCAGAACCTCCAGTGACTGACTGATAAGAGAGCCATCACCCCGGCTATCATTTCATTTCATTTTCTTTTTTTGTTCCTGGGGACAGCAGTGAGCAACGGCTTCTTCATCACTGTAACACTGAGCATGGAGTGGTTGCTACAGTGAACACTGTTAACCTTGTGATAAATTATTAGTCAGCCTGGGGGCCTCTTGCCTCTGTCTGCAGTGGGTGGTGATGAGGAAGAGCATTTATATTTTCCTGTATCCAATGGCCTTCCCATACAACCCTGTACTGCAGTTCCTAGCCTTCCAGTGGGACTTACTGAACACTGCCACCTTATGGTTCTTCACCTAGCTCAGCGCTTTCTGTTGCGTGAAGACCGCAACCTACACCCTCCCCATCTTCCTCTGGCTAAAACAGCAGGTGTCTGGGTTGGTTCCATGGATGCTGCTTAGTTCCTTGGGACTCTCCAGCTTGAGCACCATCCTCTTTTCATAGGCAACCAGAGCTTATATTACTACTTTTTAAGGAGAGGGTTGCAATCTTGGAATGCCACTGGGAATACTATAAGATCATATGAGAAATCCTACTTCTCTTTAAAACTTGTTACCTGGACAGTCTTTACTCTTGTCTTCCCTTTTTTTTTTTTTTTAAGATTTTATTTATTTATTTGACAGAGAGAGACACAGTGAGAGAGGGAACACAAGTGGGGAAGAGGGAGAAGCAGGCTTCCCG